TTAAAGTAATTTAGGCGACACATCGATCGATAAGAAAATGTTTTACTAACAGTAAGATAACAGAAATCAGTAAATCAGATGAACGGAGAGATTATTTATAAAGTTTGTAAGCTGAAGTTTTGATGCCTATAAAAATAGCTTCATTTAACTGGGATTGTGTTGAGTTTTTTTGAGAAAATCGAATTTTAAGCATAATAGGAGTCAAGAGGAATTTTTCCACGGAAACCATCACTGAGAATTTAATTTCTGCATTAGATGGAGATGTAAACCAGCTTAGACTTTCCAATCTTATGGCAGAAACTCTAAAAAGGTTTATATACCATATCACTTTATTGAAATCCTTTAACACACATGCAGGCACGCACACACATACAGAGTTTAACCCTATCCATCAGTAACCTCGCTTAGTTTACTAGTTACTAGCCGGTCCTAAGCTTGAATAAAGAGGGAAGGTCGGGCATACGGCTAGAAACCCTACCCTGGAAAACTAATCCAATCGCTAAAGAAACTTCAAAACACGCAGAAAAAATAAACTTATTCTTCGCTGGAATCGGGGAGACGAAATGACACTGGTTGGTCCAAGCATTTAGGAAGCCAATTGGCCGATGTGTCTACTCTCGATGAAAGCAGAAGTAAGGATAGGGACATGGAATGGCTGCACAATGCCAGGAGTGAGATAAGGTTGCCGCCTACCATAAACGACCATCTCCCTGATTGTGATCGACTGGACTGGATCCTACAACAGACAGCTGTGAGGAGCGAGAAGAGGGGCATACGCTGGCTGGACTGCTGTAATGAAAAGACACCAGAAGGAGATTTAGATTTCGTCGCCAATGATGATTTATGTCCGATCTCTTGTTGTACAAACTCGAAGATCTACAGGCAAAAATTAACAAGTTCGTGGAAGAGGCGAAGCGAGGTAAGCCAGTGAAGGAAGATGGGACTTCCCTCAGATGAACGTAGAGAAGACAGAGGTGATGAAGATATGCAACCAACAACAACAGCAAAAATAAGCACCAATCACTATCAAAGAAAGAAATATAAAGCAAGTTACCTCTTTCGCCTACACCTATCTGTCAAAGCGACTATCGGAAATACAGCAAGACACGCCTTCCTTCATTAATCTGAAATTAGTCAGTGTGGAGATCTACTACACTACACTCCACTGTACTCACCATAAAGCGTGAATAACATCCGGATTTTCAGCACTAATGTCAGTCAAGTGAGTCAGTGTTTCTATGTGATGGTCGAGAGACTTGGCGGCCCGTTATGGAAAGCATTTCCAACAAATTACAGACATACGTTATCAACAGCTGCCACCTATACTCACTAGATACTGAAGATGAAGATAGGTTGGCGAGAATAATAAGAATGAGCAACAAGCAACTCTGGCTGGCAATGAACCAATCGACCACCAACCCATCTCCCAACAAATACGCAGTAGAAGAAAGTAGAGATGGATTGGGCATACACCGAGAAGACCGATTGGCGACAGTATCCGTCAGGCCGTCGAGTGGAAGCCAAATAGGAAATGACGAGTTGGACGTCTGAGGTTGACATGGGGATCGTGTGAGGGAGAAACGAAAGCTTGTGGGTAGTGGTGGAGCCAGGTTGAAAAGACTGCAGAGGACACAGTGAAATGGAGACGTGCAACTGAAGCCATATGTTCCACTAGGAACCCAAAGGATAAATAATAAATGGTAAGATCAGTAATTTCTTCGACTTTTCGTTTGTCTTCTTCTGATTAATTAGTCGTTGATTCGAGAGGTGGAAATTATCATCTGGAACCGATCATTCCGTACCATTATCTTTTGTTCAGTTCTGAAGCATATCGTGTTTTCCTGACTTCCAGGAGTGGAATAGATTTTTCGACTCCCGGAATAATGTTCGTATCATCTATGCTTTCTGAGAATGGTTTAAAAATTCTCTTTACTCAAAAAGATAACTGAACCTGGAAGGGATGAGTCAAGATTCAACAATTAGGTGTAGTGACAGTTTACAATGATTAGGTGAATTCCCCACTGGTTGCATTGACTTATTCAACAAGAACTTCAGTGTATCAAGATGCCTGTCTCTTCAGTTGATTTGCAGACTGTTCTTCAAATGGGAGTAACACATGTTTATTAGTTTTTCAGTCACCAATCAAGGAAAAACACCCTTTTCCGATTCCAGTTTTGTGTCCGTTAGGAGTCAGTAGTAGGCTATATCTTCATCAGTAAAGAAACTTGCAATCCCTTGTAAACTATTACCTTATCTACCCACTTCTGGCGTCGAACAAAATGCCCTAGAATTTGTCTTAATGTAGACGACACTACTAACTAGTAAACAGGTACATCCAGCTGACAAGTTTTAGATAGAATGAAACACGCCACCTGGATCCCACTGCTAGTCACTATGCATTATAAACATTAAGACTGAAAATAAAGGCAATATCGAGGCATCTGAACAGGAGCCTGTATGCCAATTGTGCCGAATCAATTCGGTCCAATTAACGATAAAGATTCAGAATTGAATAAGGAGTGAGCACCTTGATTCATTCGCCCGCTGAATAACGCTCTGGAGTTTGAAGCGATTGGTTCTAGGTTCGAGCCTTAGTGGGGAAGATATCACTCACTGGAAGGCAGGTATATTTAGCTGACGAGTCCTAGATAGGACGAAACACATCGTGGATTCCTCTGCTAACTGGTATCCATCATTCGCAAATGACCTCCGGAGTTATCTGACTACTTACATGGCTTCATTACAAGATGGTTACCAATTCAGCTATCAGGTAGCATGTGTCGATCAAAGATTTGGGATCATATCCACAGTGATAAGTGGCCAAAAGCATAAAACCTAGGTCACACAGGGTTTCCTACCAACTAACTCCACCTAACTAACATCTATATCATTTCATTGTAATAGTTAGTCTCCTAACCTGGTGTTGACATTGCATAATGATCGATATAATCCGATTAGTACTAAAAACTAGACAACATGAAGTTGGTTACCCTACAGTGACTAATCAGCATACTTAATCTAGTCCTACAGGAAGTAACGCTTCTGACTGCAATTCTGGGTGATGTGAGTTTGCATATCAGTATGGACATCATTTCTGTCAAGGTTGCAGATACACCTTGCTGATGAGTGGCAAAAAACACGAAATCTTGGTGAAGCAGGGACTTCTTACCGATCGCTTCCATCCATCTAAGAAGCAACCTACTTGAATGAATGTAGGTTATTTACCGCTTTTCAGCAGTAAAACACATTTTTAGACTGTGAAATGGATGTATACCCAATGAAGAGGATTTACAGTGTTTCATTCTGAAGTGGATGTTACCAGACTACACAACAGCAAGGACATAATCAGTGAATAGAAAAAGAACCACATTACAGTTGGTGTAATTCTATCCTAAGAGAGAGAATTTACGGATGACGGTTTATAATAGTGTTAATCTAAGTGATATCTTCAATATTCTTCATCAATGATTCCTAACATCTCAACAAATCTGGCTGCCAAACAGCTTGCATCTTTCTACACAGCTAGCATCATTATTAATGCATTCAGTAACCTTGTGGACACTCGAGCTACACCTATTGTGTGAGGGATAGTAATACTTACTGACTGATAAACCTTGGTAGGTAGAATGGGGTTCAGACCTATGACCCATTGGTTGATAGTCATTTCCTTAAACCGTGTGAGTCACAGTTCCGTAATCAATAATGAAAAACATCATGAACTGGTGCCAAGCCTTGGTCTGTCCACTCCTAGTTTCCTTCATACTTAGGCCTACTTTGACTAATATGGTATGTTGTGGTAGGTGAGGCTTGAGAAGTACAAAATATATCCACATCACCACAGTTGGAACAAATTCACAGCCTCATCAATTGAATTTCTGCTAAATTGACACCATCATCCAAACTTGGTAATCGGTGACTTCCTTTCCTATTTAAACGTCTACAATCAGTCATATCTGAGATGAATACACCAAATCACTTTTGACCCGTGTTACTGAATTCCATTGGTGATATCAAAATTTGATGCCAACGAATTTATTCCAGTCAGTTTTCATCTGTAGGCAATTGACTTAACTATCTGTTTACCTGTCTGTCCATTCATTCTCTTACCAATAAAATGAAACTAAATCCCACAAAAGAAATTGTATTATGTACCGACATGAATTTTGTCATTTTTACTCGAAATCGAGAAAAGCGTGTAAAATATATTTCCCACTTTATTGTATTGTGTTTACTATATTACCAGAAGCTTTCTTTTACAATAATGCAATATATATTTATTGATTTTCGTGTAGGTGTATAACTGCCATTATTGCTTAAACATATGAACAGATAACTGGCAATTCCCTTTCGTTTTAGCCCATCAAAAATCTCGAAACCTGGTATCGACCGAAATAAACATCTCCCAATACATTTTTAAATACAATAGGTATGTGTATGTGTGGGCACGCTTAGTGCATACTTTCACCTAAGCACGTACAATTTATATGTCTGTACTTGTATATGTTTTCTAAAACAACCAATCAGAATCCCAATAATTTCTATTTCACTGATTGGATAGTTAAAAGTCTTTCTTTTAACAGCATCTCTCTGCTTGACCAATCAAGTGGTAGTTAGGATCAATTAGGCTTTTTTTGGTGGGAAGAGAAAATCAGCACAAAAAAAAGGAGAGAATGCAATACCAAAGTGCAAAAGGAGAACAGCATGCAAACTAACTTTTGGATAAAAATGTGTCCAACATTATACTGAACTTTTATCAATTATCATGAGGAATATCTGAAATTTCCTGAAATTTAATTCTCACTTTCGACAGACTATTTCCTCTTGTTGATAATGATCACAGTAATTTCGTGAACATTTCATTGCACACATGTAAACAAAAAATTGGAATGATACAGCAGAAAGTGATTCGAGTAACCTGCAAACGCTGTTCAGCTCTATCAAACAATAAACTGAGCTGGTGTTTTGTTGAAGTTTAGAAGCAAAAGCAAGCGAAAAGTAGTATGGATCAGGTAAAAACAGAAGCTGCTTGTCTACCAGCTGGTAGGTATGAATTTAAAGACTCTGGATTATATATTGGTGAATGGTTGAATGAGAAAGCTGTTGGACTTGGCTTGATCACAAAGGATAAATGTCAAGGCGAATATACTGGCCTATGGGATTCAGGTTCTGAGAAAAGTGGTGTTTTCTTATGGCCTAACGCACCTGGTGCTATGTATGAAGGTGAATGGGCACATAATCGGCGTAATGGGTATGGGATATTTACTAGAGAAGACTGGGTGATTATGGGACGTTTTAAGGATGACTTTATTACACTTGGAATAAAATGTAAAGAGAATTCAATTGGGCGGTTTGAAGGGGAATTTGAAAATGGTTTTCCAAGGTTTGGTGTTGAAACGTATGCTGATGGAGGTAAGCTGCTTCTACTACAAACTATGCTTTCTTAAATTTTTTAAATTATTTTTCAACTTATTCATCAGTTATCCCTGAAAACATTTAAAACCCTTTAGATTCAAGTTTTTAAGTTTTATTTACTGAAATAGCATGAGTTTTTGCTGGCTTCACTTAAACCTTACACTGATGAGTATAAACAAGAAAGAAAGTACAAACAGTGGTCTCTATAGATTGACTCCTTGCAGGAAGTATAGGATACCGAAATGAGGGGAAACCCATCTTTCTGCAATTGTGCAAGAATCATCAACCATCCTACATAACGAATATATGAATGGTCTTCTTAAAAAGTATTTAAGGATATATTTTACCTATCTGCTCACCGTAACCAACGTTTCAGAATGAGTTCATTTCTCACAGCTGATAAGTTTTACAACTGCTCAACTATGATGTCAAGAAGATTTCTACTGGAAACCACTCAGCTATGACACAAAAGTGTAATGAACTAGTGAAAGATGACTACTAGTTAACAACTTGAGTCGTTAGAAAGCACTCAGGCTGATGTGTAGTATTTTGCCAGTTAGATCAAAGTGATCTGAACACCAAAAGTCCATTTTGCTCGTTTTACGGCCAGATTCAGGTGGTTTAAAGTTATTCGGATGCATAAGCTGAATATGTTCAGGTACATGGCTGACTAGATCGTCTCCAGACGGGGGAAATGGCAATTCAGTGTTTATATCACTGTGATCTGGTTGCGTGGCGAAATACTATTCAAGTTGTTCAGTAGTAGTGTATTTCATGGATTATGGACTTTTCAGGGAAGTCAAGTCTTGTCTATAAGCTGCAGTCTTCATCTAAGCAATACAAATGACAAAAATGCCCATTGGCTAGACATTAATAAGATTATAGCTAAGTAGAGAATACCCCCATCTTCATATAATCACATGACGGTGACTTCGTAACCTAGAGCTATTTTCTACTGAGTATGCACCAATTTTTTAAGACTATAGTCATACAAGTGCCAAAGTGTTTTACATCTCATCAAAACTCTTCTTATCTTTAACGCTTCACTAACCTGTTGTGACAAGCTCTAATTCAAATGTGACATAATCACTTTTATGCGTCGCTGACAAGGAAACTACTTAAGCATCTGTCAGTAGTATTGTGAAAAAGTGCATATGTTAACGGATGATTGGTAAACAGTTGCTTTCTGAGATCAGTTATACAGGAGTAACTCATACATTTTACAGAGAGTGAGACACTTTTAACAGTTATTTGAACCTCAAAGTGTTCTTGTATATTTAATCCTGATTGGTTAAAAAGGGTGGCCTGGTATTCTAGGTGGTTGGATCTCTACCAATGATAATAACTACTGTCGTTCTGGCCAATATATTCATATGTTTCATGGACATGTAGAAGTCAGCTACTGTTGATATGATCGCTGCTATGGTTTCACTCAAGTCAGAAACTAACTGTTTCCTTAGTATTCATTGAGTTTCTATAGTTAGAGTGAAGAATATTTGTAGCTCAGGTGGATGGTCTTGGTTGTATTGCTTTCTCTAAGCTGGGTTGTTTAATCGTGGAGCTTTTATTGTCTTTCTAGACGACGTCATCAGCACTAACTTCACTCTGTAGTGAGCTGTCAATATCTCTCCGTCAGTGAGTGATTTAGTAGCTTGCCTTCACGAAGCGGTCTATGATTGGTCGTTTCCTTTGACTGTTGTGTCATTGACTGTATAGATTTTCCTGCTGGCTGTCCCTCTGCTTGACCTCTGACCTTTCTGTCGTTTATCATTTTTCTTATTGGTTGATAGGTTGGGTCTATGTCTATACATCTGTTGATTGCTGACTGACTGACTGACTAGGCTGAATGGTAAGCTTGTGGGGATTCCCTGATATTTTTTGTGTTTCCTGTGTCCAAATTTTCTAAATTGAATTCATGTCCATAGTTGATGTTGTCGTCTAGCAAGACGACGAAAGCTCCACGATTAAACAACCCAGATCAGAGAACACAATACAACCAAGACAGTTAGAGTGAATTCTCACAGGACCAGTGGAGTATCGGAAAGCAGTGAAACCAATGAAAACTTTTATACATTGTTATCAAAATCTCTGACTTGATAAATGTTGCAAACTTAGTCTCAGACTCCATTTATGCATCAAAATATCCTGTGGATTGTCAGTAGGTGTTTACTGTTTTCTTAGCTTATTATAATACTACAAACATTTTAGACAATGTGAGGAAAACAGTTTGATATAGATAAGACGTTTTAATTTCAATGCCAAACTGGGAGCCTACAACATAGGAAGAGAACTAACCATGGGTCGAGAAGCACTTGGTGAAATGAATGAGAATGGAGAACCGTTACCAGGATTCTGCGAATTCAACGATTTGGTGACTGGATGCACTGTCTACAAACAGAAGGATATTCACAAAGCGACATGGAGTTGACTTAACCAGATGGACACACTACACTAAAAATCAGATCGACTTCATCACAATGTGAAGAAAATGGAGACGCAGCCCACTGGACACAAGATCAAGAAGGGGAGCAGATGTAGGTTCACACCAATCACTATCTAGTGCAAGGAACCTACCTTTAAAATCAAGTTGAAAGCCTTCAAAGAAGTTGGTGACAGACCACAGTTCAACACTCAGAACAGAAACTGAAGGACGAAACTACCAAGAACATCTTCACGTCAGTCATCAGAACAAAATGGGAGACATTAGGCAACATCCGTGAGGAAACCTGCGTGGAAGAACACTAGAACCCAAAGGGGAAACGACGAGTTGGGCGTCTGTGCGACGGTGACATGGAGGAGATGGTATGAGGAAGAGATGAAAGCTTATGGGCAGTCTTGGAGACAGGTTGAAAAGACTACAGAGAAGGGAGTGAAATGGAAACGTGCTACTGAAGCCGTATGTTCCATCGGGAACCCAAAGGACAAAAAAATAATATACCAGAACAACTCTGTTATATTGCGTTAGAGACTGTTAGAAACACGGAGCACAGTGATGACCTTGAAGTATGTACATGCAACATGGCTATTACTCATGGAAATTTGTTAGACCCCTAGCAGATGAATTTCAGACAAACTGAATCGCACATCTCAAATCCCATTACTAGTTATCGAAAGTAGTATGAAAATGAAACCGAAGGGTATATCAAGGCGTTCGTTCAAGGAGCTAATAATTTTGACGGAGACCAAAGTAAAACTTAGAAGTTAAAACAAGTAATAAGAAATATAAGTGGACTTAAGCAGTTATTTAAGTAATTCATTTTGGATGTTTGTTGGGCAAACTAAGTGATACGTGAAGATAGGTACTCAACGGTGGTATTGGATGAAAGTGGCGTCATGTAGCAATAAGACAGAAGTAGAAAAGTGCGGATCACTGGTAACGTGGTAGCCGCGTAACCTGGACGTACTGGGTCCCATTCTTGGCAAGGAGAGGGAGGGTCATGGGTGCGCACTGCTGAAGAGTCCTGCACAAAGACAAAACAGCCTTTTAGTTCTACTAGGATTTCAATAGTTCTTCAACTAAAGTCAGTCCATGATAAATAACAAGCTGAAATTACATAAGTGTAGCTTGGAGATACATATATGTGGAAATTTCCATCCACTTTTACACGATTCTCATCTCTAAAAGTGCATATGACTTGGATCGTCCAATAAAAACACATTTACCTGTAAGTAAGGCTGATGAGCGAGCAGTGACTTTAAAGGTAACCCTAACAACTACCAAAGTAGCCAGTCAGATTTCATTATTTTACAAAGAAACCACAGTTCAAGCCAAAATATAGTTTAAATTGGCCATCTTACAAGGTTGCTAGGGCGACCTTTTTAGTCAAAATTGCAACTAAGTTTGAAGTTGGTTGGATATGATCGAAAGAAGGAGTGACTTTAAAGGTCATCCTAATAACTGAGATAACCAATTACGCTTACTCTATTTTATGAAAAACTGCTTTTTCAACAGAAATATCAAAACCGGCTCACTCGAAAGAACACTCTGAATCTGAGAAATTTTAAGTGATTTTAAGGATGACTTTGAAGGCCACCCTAGCAACAACTAAAATAACCAATCAGGCTTCGGTATTTGGCTTCGAAAAGTACCTTCTAATAAAATAATTCCACTCTAGCAACAATCGAAACAACCAATTAAGTTTCTCCATTTCAGATAACATAAGTGACTGTAAAGGCCACCCTAGTAACTGTTCAGAAAACCAATTACGGCTCTGTATTTTATGAAAATATAACCTCCTTGCCGAAATACAGAAACCTGATTGACTGTTTCAACAGTTGCTAGGGTGGCCTTTAAGGTTACTCTTAAAGCCACTCCAAAGATTTAAGTGTATTCATTTAGGTTATTGAAGTACTTAGTGCGATGGCCTTCAGAGCCACTCGCTGATTGAGATGTATGGTTTAGTCACTAACTGTGCCTTGTTTTAACTACATGAACTATACCAAGTCTCTGTGTACACAAGACTTATGCTTCTGTATTTTTAGGGCGACTCTAAAGTCCACCCTAGCAACGATTGAAATAAAGAATTAGGTTCCTAATTTCGTCTGAGAAGGCAAATTTTCATGAAGTTGGTTATTTCAATTGTTGCCAGGGTGGCCTTTAAAGTCATTCGTATTTTTATTATAGGACAAAGTATTCATCACTGTCTTCTTGTTTTAATCTTATAGCTAGCTGAGCGAGAAATTGGAGGCGATTACTTGTTCTCTGATTAAAAAAGTTAGATAACTTTGGCTGGCTGACTTAACCTGATGTACGGATATACTTCAGATGAAAAAAGAAACCAGAATTGGTGCAGAATTCACACTCAGGGTTACCAACCTCTTGGTGTACTGGTCAAGTCCTGTACAAGTAAATGTACATGCAAATTAAATCCATTTAGGATAGTGGAATAAATAACGCTCACATTGAACTGAGTTACTATTGTTAAGAAACTTCTAAGTTTTTTATCCACCTATTATTTTCAACTTGATTACAGCATACATACTTTGCTGTTTCACTC